GCATGATCTGTACAACAGAGTGGAGTACTCACCAAGGAAAGGTAGAACTTGTCAGCCCTGCTCAACTGGCCCAGGGCAGGCTCCAGGGAGAAAACACTCAGGCTTTCCCTAACCAGATAGAGAGCTGATGCAGGAAAAGACTCATCAGGATTCATTACAATACTATTAGAAAAAGTGATGGGGTAGGCCAGAGGGAAGAGGGAATTAGGGAAGGTCACACAGGAGGAAGCCCACCTGGGGGCAAAGGGATCTAGGCAGTTACCCCTTGAAGTACTCTAAGTCCGGCTTACTGTTAGAAAGTTAAAACACTGACCTCTGGGCTATCTGCTTATCAACAAACCCCACTGACTCCACACTCACATTAACTCTCCTTGTGCATATCATGTTTTGTCTGCTTCTAGACAGCACATTCCTGGGTGGAGAGAACTAAGTCGTATCCTTCATTAAGTAGACCAATGCAAAATAGGCACCCCCAAAAATGTTAGTTTCCATCTTCCCCATTCTCCACCTTCCCTCTTCCAGGGTCCCAACAAAGGCATTCAGTAAACATTTCTTGAATCAATCAATGAGGTACAGGTACTGAAAAATAATGCTGCATTCTGCTTACATTTGATTTCCATCAGCCAAGAATCTATAGTAATGATAATTTAGATTTGCAAAGGTTTTTTTTCCTTCTCAAAGTCTTGTCATCTATTACCACATTTGATCCTCAAAGTAGTACCAGAAATTAGCCTGAATAGGCATTTATTCATTCTCCTTTTCAAGATGAGGACTCCTGGGCCAGAGAGGGTGACCTAATTTGTCCACAATTACAAAGGTAGCAAGGCAGCAAGCCCAGATCATTTTCTGACTTCTACGCTAAGACTTCTTCTTCTATATTTCTGGTCCCTTTTAAGTCTGGCATGTCTCACTGCTTCTCACCATACACAAAAATAAACTGCAGCTAAGATAAAGACATAAACTGAAAATACACAACTACATCAGAAGGAAGTACAGGGAAATATTTTAAGAATCTTGAGGTAGCATGTCACAAAAACCCAAAAGCCACAGGCAGATTTGACAGTGTAAAACTTCTAAAATTTCGTGTAAAGAAAAATATCATTAAAGTGGTTAAGGATAACTCATGGCTTTATTTTTCCCACTCATTATCTTATCCACTGAATGTTTTTCAAAATGGTTTTTGCTCTTTTTTTTTTTTTTAATCAGTCCCTGTAGGGGCCGTCAAAAATTGCCAATGCCAACTATATTGCAAGTCGTCGTGGCAGGCTATTGGGAAAAGTTTTCAGTGAGCAATAATCTCGCCTCAGATAAACCTCATTGGCTATGATACTGCCACTGCACAAAGCTTTGCTCTCCTTGAAATTATTCTTTTTCATATAAATTTTAAAATCAGCATAAGTTCTATGCAAAATCTTGCTTTAAATTAATCTTAACTTAATCTATAGCCAAAATTGATGTCTTTTCAGTACTTAGTCTTTCTGTTCATGAACCTGGTAAAACTCTCCATTTAATCAAATCCTTATTTTTTCTTCACTAAAACAGTATGGTTTTCTTAATATATGACTTGCACTTTCCTGTTAAATTTTTTTCTAGAAACAATATTTTTATTGTGGATGAGACTATTTATTTTATGATATTTCATGGTTGATTATTCTTCTTATATTTTACTTATATAATTTTTGTTAGTCAATCTTATATCTGGCCATGTTGTTGAACTCACAAGCTTTAATTACTCATTTCTCTTTATAGATGAATATATTATATGAAAATAATGAGATTTTTGGGGTAGTCAGGGGTTCTAGCAGAATATTCGTTTTTTGTGGTTGGTTGGTTGTTTTGAGACAGGATCTCCCTCTATCACCCTGGCTAGAGTGCAGTGGCCTCATCACAGCTCATTGCAGCCTCAAACTCCCAGGCTCAAGACATGCTCCCCACTTGGCCTCCCAAGTAACTGGGACAACAGGCATGCACCACCACCAGATTAACATTTTCTATTTTTGTAGAGACTGGGTGGGGGCTGGCGGGGGATCTCGCTCCTGCTCCGGCTGGTCTCAAATTCCCAACTTCGAGCCATCTTTTGTCTCAGCCTCCCAGAGTGTTCCCACTGCACCCAGCCTCAGAGTATTAGTTTTGATGGTAAACATTCCTGACTTGTTCCCATCTTTTTTTTTTTATTTCAGCATATTATGGGGGTACAGATGTTTAGGTTACATATGTTGCCCTTGCCCCCCACCCCCCTTGTTCCCATCTTTGATAGGAATGTTTCAAATATTTTCCCATAAAAAATGACTTTTGCTCTCAAAAAATGCTGAAAGATAAATGAAAAGAAATTTTTTTTTTTTTTTTTTTTTTGAGACAGACTCTCGCTCTGTTGTCTGGGCCAGCGTGCCGTGGCGTCAGCCTAGCTCACAGCAACCTCAAACTCCTGGGCTCAAGCAATCCTTCTGTCTCAGCCTCCCGAGTAGCTGGGACTACAGGCATGAGCCACCATGCCCGGCTAATTTTTTCTATATATTTTTAACTGTCCAATTAATTTCTTTCTATTTTTGGTAGAGACGGGGTCTCGCTCTTGCTCAGGCTGGTCTCGAACTCCTGAGCTCAAAGGATCCTCCCCACCTCGGCCTCCCAGAGTGCTAGGATTACAGGTATGAGCCACCACGCCCGGACAAGAGAAAATATTTTAAATGCAGATGACAAAGAGTAGTTAATATCCATAACATAGAGAGAATTTCTACCAATCAATAAGAAACAATCTACTTTTTTTTAATGGGTAAAGGGTATGAACAGGCAGTTTACAAAAACCATTAAAATGGTCAAAAAGCAATAAAATAGACTGGGCGCCATGGCTCACACCTGTAATCCTAGCACTCTGGGAAGCCAAAGTGGGAGGATTGCTTGAGGTCAGGAGTTCGAGACCAGCCTGAGCAAGAGCGAGACCCCTGTCTCTACTAAAAATAGAAAGAAATTAGCTTGACAACTAAAAATATATAGAAAAAAATTAGCCAGGCATGGTGGCACATGCCTGTAGTCCCAGCTACTCAGGAGGCTGAGGCAGGAGGATCGCTTGAGCCCAAGCGTTTGAGGTTGCTGTGAGCTAGGCCGACGCCACGGCACTCTAGCCCAGGCAACAGAGCAAGACTCTGTCTCAAAAAAAAAAGCAATAAAATAGTCCCAGCTACTTGGGAGACTAAGGCGGGAGGATCACTTGAGCCCAGGAGTTGGAGACCAGACTTGGCAATATAGTGAAACTCTATCTCCACAAAAAAATAAAAACAATATCAAGGCTAAGCGGAAAATTCCCCCTCAACACAGGTGTTGGAAGTTCCAGTGAACTATGATCTGAGTGAGTATGTAAGTTGTTACAAACTTTTACAATTCAATTTCACAAAATCTATTAAACTTCAGGATGCACATATCCTACCTACAAATCTATAAATGCAAAAGGATAACTATATAAGGATGTTATAGCACTGTTTATAAAGAAAAAAAAAACTGAACTAACCTAAATGTTCAAGATAGGACTAGACAAATTAAAGTACAAACATAAACTGGAACACTACGCAACAATTTTTTAAATGTGAACTGATTTAGATGTCTAAAATACACTGTGTGGCACATTCCAGGTGCTCAATAAATATGTACTGGATGGAAAAAAAAAACATTTTTGTATGAATACAAAAAAAAGTCTAGAGGGATATATACCAAGCTGATAAGAATGACTACCTTCAGGAGCATGGAATAGAGGAGGCTTAATCATTTTTTTTGCTTTTTATACTTCTGTATTGTGAGGATTTGTAAAAGAAATATGAGCTAATTTTTTTAAAGATTATTTAAAAGACTTGTTTCTGGTAATGTCTGTCTGTCTCTCTCTCTCTCTCTCTCTCTCTCTCTCTCTCTCTCTCTCTCTCTCTCTCCATTTTACCTCAATTTTAGGATGATTCTAAGAGCACAAGGAACTTGCTTTCAGTAGCCCAAATCGTAGAGTGGCTCAAGGAAATTTGTGTACAAAAAATCCTTTGGAATCCTGGTCTTTTTTCATCATAAACGTTTTTTTTCTTTTGCTATCGCCATTAATTGCCCTAAACTTACAACCTAGTATCACCTACAGCAGAAATCAAGACTTCAATGGAAGCGACATTTCCCTCTATCAGGTGCAATTTGCGTAGTCCATCTTTAGCAAGACCTCTCCCTAATGGCTAAAGTCGGGGAGAGAATTTGAAGACAGGCTCAAGTTTCCATTTTCCTAACGCAGCCCAGCTCAGGGGCCAACCTGCATGGCAAGTCTCCAAGGAGGACTAGTCTCCCACTGAGAGGAGGCCAATGTTAGATGCTGTAGGGCCTGGAATAAAGGTGGAACGGGTAGAAGGTAACCAGGCTGGTCTCGGGGTGCACACAGACCAGGCTTTGACTTCTGCAGGTAAGTGAGCAGTGTGGCCTCGGGCTACTCAGGAAACGCCTCTGAAAGAACACTAATTTTCATATTGTGGTTGAGCACGCAAGGCAGCCGTATGCAAACAAAGTGAACCAAAATCTGCAGATTTGGACCCATTGGAAAGTTCAGGTAAAGACAATCTCGGCTGAGTTACGTGAAAAAGCTGGGAAGAAACTATTCTTGCTCTACTTGGGGCTGTGGCTCAGAAGCCTTGAGGACAACGTCGGCGAGGAAGGGAGAGTGACGGCGCTCTTTCAAGGAGTCTTAACTAGCTCTTCTAGCAAACCCTCTCGAGGAGCACCCAACGCCTAATTATTTTAGGGCCCTGGTTCCCGCCCTCAGTCAAGATGGCGGCCAGGACTCGCACGCGCCAGGGCGCACGCGCCGCCCGTCGGACCCGCCCTCCTCCGGTCCTTCCGCGCGCCGGCACCGCCCACTCACCAGCTGCACCTCTCCGTGTGTCCCTAGGCTCACCCCCTCTCTGGATGCCCCCACCCGTCTAGCTCCCAAGCCCGGAAGTGGATGTTGCCGCTTGTCGGAGAAGACGAGGGGGAGGGGGAAGTGCTTCCGGGGAAACGGGCCCAGGTTGGTGTTTGTAAACTTGCCTCGGGCCCGGCGGGGGCAGCAGCGGCCGCAGGGTTGGCAGGGTGTGCTGGGCCTTGGAGAAGGCTCCGCGCGGCCGGGGAGACAGCGGGAGGCCGCGCCTGGCAGGTAGGAGCACACCCCAGGGAGCGCGCAGTGTAGTCAAGGCAGACGGCAGCGCTTCAGCAGCTCGCAGGCCGTGGGGCGCCGCGCGGGAAGGGGGAGGGGAAGGGAGGAGGGGCGCGTGGCGAAAGAAGGGAGCTCCCCGAGGGAGGGGAAAGGCCGTGCGCGCACACCGCCCCCTGCCTGCGCGTCCCGCTGCGTCCCCGGCCCGGGAGAGGGGGGCTTGCTTGGAGGGGACGCGGGCGCGAGCACGCACCTCGCGCGCTGCTCGTCGCTCTCCTCCTCTCCTGCTCTCCTGGTCAGTGCGGCTGGTGCTGCGGCTGGCTGGCTGGCTGGCTGGCCGGCCGGCGGGCGAGCGGGACGGCACGCACCGCTTTGGGCTTCGCCTGCGTGCCCTCCACCTCCGCAGCGAGTTTCCGTACCTTCGGGCGGACTTGGAGAACGCGCACGTGTAGGCACTGCCAGTCTAGTTTCTTCCCGCCACCCAAGCGCCCAGCGATGGCCTGAGCTTTCCTGGACCCCAATTCTGGCCGTCTTTAGAGTATGAGCTGTGCGGGCCGGCCCACTCAGTACAAAAGCCCCAAAGGATCTCCGCCCACTTCCATTCCTAAAATGGCAAATCCAAGTAGTTGCCCTGTTGGCACAGTTCCTCCATAGGAGGCCCTAGTTATTTGTGCTCCTGTTGGCTACCCCTCCTTGCTTAGGAGACCAGTTTCTCCTACTGACCCAGAAAGAGAACTCTTCTTGGCTAATGTCCTCTTTCTGAGCTACACAGAGAGCACCCAGCGAAAAAAGTTCAGCGCATCACACGTTGTATGGCCTGAGGATGTTGCACTTAGCGGCCTCTCGGTTTCTGGTTTCAGGTTTCTGAAAGAGATCGAGAGCTTCATTGAGAGAATTCAACTGGAAAATCAAGACGGGCAGACTCTCTTTTTCTTCAGACAATAGGCAGGAGCCAGGCAGAGTCCAGGGATTCTTGGGACACCTGTTTTTTTCCTTTGGAGGACACTGAGTTCTACTGGAAGACGAAGTTCAATATGGCAACAGGACTGAAGAAGCACGAAGGAATCGTTTTCATAATTTGGTGACAGTTATTCAAACGACAGTGTCTTAAGGAAAGGTGGATCAAGGAACTACTGAACTTTTGGTTGCATTAAGTGAAAAATCAGCATGGCTCAGGTAAAAAGCTCTAGAGTCCTCCTCCTTCAAGATCACTGGGAAGCCTGTTTGCAGTTTCACTCTTGAATGCTGCCTTAGTCAACATATTGACCAACCCCAGTGAGCCAAGCTCTGTATTAAGCACCAGGGGGAGATCTAGAGGAAGGAAAGGAGACAGGCCACAGCCCCTGCCTTCAGGGAGCTTCCAGTCAAATGAAGGAGGTAGGCTATACTGCATCACAGGCACTGATGGGACATTTACAAAGCAATGTGTGCTCAGTTTACCTTTGGTACATTAGGTGTTGAGGGGTGTAAGGGAGTGAATAGTCTGGTGAATGCTTCATTTATTTTTTTTGAACAGGAATTTATTGAGCTCCTGTTATATGCAAGGCATTGTGCTGGGAATACAAAGATGAATAACATTGTCCGTGTCCCCAGCAAGCTTCCAGGCTAGTTGGGGTGGGGGGAGGGATAGAAAGATAATTATTCGTTTTTATAGTGACAATGCCTTGCATAGTGACTGGCTAGTAATAGAGACTCTGAATCTGTTGATTGAAGGAATGTACAATAATGGAGGTATGTATACTGCAGAGGAGAGAATGATACTTCTGCTTGGATGGAAAAAAAGGATGACGCATGAAGCATGCATAGGATTTTGCTAGATAAATAAGCAGAGAAGGGCATTCAGACATGAACTGCATGGGCAGGGGCTTAGAGGCATGGGAAAGAGGTGATGAGGTTCCAGATACTGCAGGTAGTTCAGTAGTTACGGAGCAAAGGATTTAAATGAGGATAGTTAGGGAGATAAAATAGATAGTGATAGATGGGCAGGAGAGTTATGTCCTGGAGAAGTAAGCAGAGTGTAACCCAAGGGCCTTTTGTGCCTTGCAGAGGAATTAGACTTTATATGGAAAGGGGACTCCCTGAAGAATGTTAAGCAGCAGAGTAACATCAGAGCAGTGTATTTAGAAGGTCATTGTGGAGGTCAAGGATGGATTGGAGAGACAGGATGACCAGATAGGCTATTGTTGTCATCTGGGTAGAAAAGCTATATACATACACACATCCCCAGAGTTTCTCCCAGCTTTCTTCCAGGAAACCTCCCCTACCAGTCTCACCAGGATGGCAGCTCGATTGTAGTATAATTGGCTTTCTTCCAGCTGCTTCTGCATGCACAGCTTCCTCCTCCCCATGCAAAATAGGAGCCCTTTGGTTCCTTCTTCCTTTGTTTGCAACCCACTTCTCAGCATCGTGTTCACTCTTGTTCTGAGAAGGCTGCCTTCCACTAAGCACTAACTGTGCTGGGCACTGCTAAGTATTTTACATCTTTGTTTAATTCTCACCAACCCTGTGAGGATAGGTACTATGACAGGCATTTTTCATTTAGGAAACAGACTTAAAAGATGGAGGAACTTGCCCAAGGTTACACAGTGCAAATAGCTGAGCTAAGATTTTTAACTCCAGACCTTTCACCCCAAAATCCTTGAAGGTGAAAGAAGGGATCCCAAGATATACTGATATGCAAAAGGAATTTCTTTATAAATTTGGGAGTTTGCTGACCAACTATTTCTTTTTTTTAATCATAACAGGTAAATGGTAAGAATGACCAACTATTTCTTAAAAGTTTTTCTTCAGCAAGGAAAGTATATTGTCTAGTGCTGGCTAAACAAAGTCAGTTTGAAGAATGTAGCAATGGAAAGAGGAAATTTGCTTAAACATCCTTTATTTAATTTTTTTAACTATATGTGGAGCAAGGAATGTGAAAAAATGTTAACGTATGTGCACACATATAAATGGCCTAAGGCAGTAGTCCCCAACCTTTTTGGCACCAGGGACCGGTTTCATGGAAGACAATTTTTCCACGGACCGGGGGTAGGGGGGAATGGTTTCAGGATGATTCAAGTGCATTACATTTATTGTGCAGTCAATCTTTCTGCTAATAATAATCTGTATTTGCAGCTGCTCTCCAGCTCTAGCATCACTGCCTCAGCTCCACCTCAGATCATCAGGCATTAGATTCTCATAAGGAGTGCGCAACCTAGATCCCTCAGGTAGGCAGTTTACAGTAGGTTTTGATTTTGCGCTCCTATGAGAATCTAATGCTGCTGCAGATCTGACAGGAGATGGAGCTCAGGCGGTGATGGGAATGATGGGGAGTGGCTGTAAATACAAATGAAGCTTCACTCACTTGCCTGCCCACCCCTCACCTCCTGCTTTATGGCTGTTCCTAACAGGCCATAGACAGGGGTTGGGGACCTCAGGCCTAAGTGATCAAGAGAAATTGTATATTCAACTCCAAAATCCTTCTAAGTGGTTTAATTTTTATATCTGTTATAATTGACATTTAGGAAATTTAAGATCTAAAGGAAGAAATAACCTAATTTTACCGATAAACATAGTTATTTATCAGTAAAACAAACTGATAGAATGTATAGTTGGTACCAGCGAGGTCTGCCAATCAGAAGTGGGCTCTGGCCGGGTGCGGTGGTTCACGCCTGTAATCCTAGCTCTCTGGGAGGCCAAGGCGGGTGGATTGCTCAAGGTCAGGAGTTCGAAACCAGCCTGAGCAAGAGCGAGACCCTGTCTACTAAAAATAGAAAAAAATAACTAGCCAGGCATGGTGGCGCATGCCTGTAGTCCCAGCTACTCCGGAGGCTGAGGCAGGAGGATCGCTTGAGCTCCCAGGAGTTTGAGGTTGCTGTGAGCTAGGCTGACGCCACGGCACTCTAGCCCGGGCAACACAGTGAGACTCTGTTTCAAAAAAAAAAAAAAAAGAAGTAGGCTCTGAAGCTGAGGACTGTCGAGAGAGGAAGAAGGAAGGTCCCCTAGGAATCTCTGTGTCAGTGGGTCAGCAAGATAGACCCTCATACCCATTCACAGTTAAGGCCTAGAAACACCTTAACAGTTATATGTAATCACGCACACATTACCTAGCACAGTGCTAATGACAGAGGTGTCAGTGATACTTGATTATTCATTTGATCTATAGTCAAATGCTGAGAGTTGACAGAAAAATAACTAGTTCCTGGTGAGATGAGTTAGGGAGGACTCTTGAAGGAAGCAAGGTTTGGCAATGAGGATGGACTGCAGATAGTCGGTAGTAATGGAGCAGTTTGTAGTTGAGTGTAAAGGGTAGTTCCATAGAGGACGGCAGTCTGTTTTTGCCCTGCCCTGCCTGGTGATTTGACACCTCATCTCCTTTCAACTTAGGCAAGTCTCCTGGCATGTGAAGGCCTAGCAGGTGTAAGTTTGGTTCCCACTGCAGCCAGCAAGAAGATGATGCTGAGCCAGATTGCCAGCAAGCAGGCCGAGAATGGAGAGCGGGCAGGTAGCCCTGATGTGCTGAGGTGCTCGAGTCAGGTACAGCGCTTGAGTCCATTGTGGCACCTGGGGGTCGGGTGGCCCAAGCTCTCTGCCAGGAGATGCCAAGCTCTGATTCCTCGTACTTCCATTTAGAGAACTGGGGAAAAGGGATCCACCTGGGGGATGAATGAATGTTGTTATTTTGGAGAGCTAAAGAAGGCCTTTTCTATACTTATACCTCCTTACGACCAGGATACTTAGAGAGTATATTTTCCCTAAGCTTTTGGGGCAGATGGTTTACTCTCATTTGTAAGTTGTTTGTCTGAAAGCAGCATTTTGTTTCATCTTGTGTTCTGAGATGGACTGTGAGTTTAGATTTGATTTGTCTTCAAAGGGTCACCGAAAAGACAGTGATAAGTCCCGGAGCCGCAAAGATGATGACAGCTTGGCTGAGGCCTCTCATTCAAAAAAGACTGTTAAAAAGGCAGGTAATGGGGTAATCCCCAAACTGATACAGTTTAGTAATGGGGTAATCTTCCTCTTTCTTCCCAATATCACTCATCCTGGAGCTTTCCCTAGACACTTTGGTCTCTTGAAGCCAGTGAAGGTGTCTCCTGATTTCACCCAGAGACTGCTGTGGTAGTTGATCTCTGCCCTCGCTGGAACATCTGGCACCATTTGGGGAACATGAGATCCCATGGTGGGGGGCAGCCAGACTCCGGCTTAGGTCTTACTCAAGAATGTTGGGTTTGACAAGGTGGACAGTTTTCCCACTCCACCTCCTTCCCCAGAAGGTCTTTTAACTCTAAGGAATATGGGAGATGACAGCACCTCTAGACAGCATCAGAGAGGTTCCTTTGTCCAGCAGCTGGAAGTGGACCCAGAATAAAATGGTCTCTCCAGGAAGAGGGCGTAGGGACGGCCTCCTGACATACCTTATTGTTGCCTCCAGGTGGTGGTAGTGGAACAAAATGGTTCTTTTCAAGTAAAGATTCCCAAAAATTTTGTTTGTGAACACTGCTTTGGAGCCTTTAGGAGCAGTTACCACCTAAAGAGGCACATCCTTATTCACACCGGTAAGTCTCTAGCTTGTATGCAAAGGGGAGAACAGTCTGTAGCTTACATTCTGCGTGTGTATGTGTGTGTGGCTCCAGTTGGGTTTATTTTAAAGGGGAAGTATTAGAAATGGAGGCAGAAGATAAGTGAACGAGGTAGAGATTGCATGGCTCTGTGTCTGGTGTCACTGATACCAGCAGCTTTGGGAACCCCTTCCCATTTATGATAGCTTAGGTGCCTACACATTGCTAAGAGTTAAAGTTTCTGAGAAAATAACTGGAATGAGATCCCTACCATACATACCTCCTGACATTGACTTCTCTCTCCACTCGGGCCAGGTGAGAAGCCATTTGAGTGTGATATATGTGATATGCGCTTTATCCAGAAGTACCACCTGGAACGCCACAAGCGTGTGCACAGTGGTGAAAAGCCTTACAAGTGTGAACGGTGTCATCAGGTAAGACTCACAGGTCATCCATCCCTGCTGCAGCCCCCCACACAAACTTTTTCTTCCCCAAGAACCAGCACTGGCCCCTATTCCTGCCTGTCAAAGGGGCCACCTGACATTGCTCACTATAGTAGAGTTAGCACCTTGCTGAGATGTATCTCTCTGGCCTCATGCAGCTGATGATGGGGAGGGCCCATTAGAATATTGTAATAGTAATAATAGCATTTCTTGAGCACTTCTGTATGCCAGGTACCACGAAACATGCATACATCACATAAATTATTTAATCTTCATATTAACTCCATGAGGTAGCTATGTTGTCCTCATTTCACATATGGGACAATTGAGATTCAGAGAAATTAAGTTTCCCAAGGACACAGCAGATCAAGAGCAGAGCCAATATTCAGTCCAACTTCAGAGCTCGTGTACTTTGGAGGAAGAGATACAATCTTTGTCCAGGGGTCAGTTATGTGATCTCATGAGAATATAAGAGCCAAGACCAAAACAAGACAAGAACAAGAGACGAGAAATGGTAATAACTAACCCTTCCTGGATGCCTTGTGAGGTCCTAAGTTTTGCTCCACACTCCTAACGTTGAATCTTCAAAACACTAGAATGAAAGCTCCATGAGGGCAGAGACTTTGTCCCTCTGGTTCTCCACTCTGTCCTCAGCCCCAAGAACTGTACCTGCCTTGAGATAGATACTCAATAAATATTTGATGAATAAAGCAGCTATGCTGTGAGTAGGTACTTTTAGCCTCGTTTTACAGATGAGTATACAGATTTAGGGCTGTTAGATAACTTGCCCAAGGTCATAACAGTTGCTAAGTGATAGAGCCAGGATTTAGACCCAGGCACTCTAGCTTCAGAGCTTGCCTTCCTAACCATGGCGTGCTCATGCCATCTCTGCACATGCTGAGGAGATATAGAATGTTACATCTGCCTCCTTTGTGGGGAAGGAGCTAGCCAACAGGTAGCTGAGTTTCTCCTCTCAGGCACTTAACCCTCCCTTTCTTCTCAGTGTTTTTCTCGGACAGATCGATTACTCAGACACAAACGGATGTGCCAAGGGTGCCAGTCCAAGACTTCCGACGGGCAGTTTTCTCTATAGGCGCAAGGGGCCCTGGGTGGTGGGAGTGATCAGAAGAATCTACTGAAGAGCACACCCCCTCTGGTCTGATGGTCCCACCACCGCCGCATCTGAACCTGTCCCCCTCCTGGAGGGGTGGACCCAGGAGACCAGAAGAGTGCATCAGGGGACAGTGGCCCCAGAGCCTCAGCTCTGTAAATAATCTGAGACTATGAGTATCTCGGGGAAGTTCCTAACAGCATTCCTGGGTAGGGGAGCTAGTCCCTGGACCCTTGGCTGAGATCATAGGTGGGAACTCAAGGTACAGGACCAAGACTGAAGTGTGGCTCCCACAACCTTGGACTCTAGCTGGCAGCTGAAATGGAAGAGATTGGGGAATGGGATTTGTTTGTTCTGTTCTTGTTTTTGTTTATCCAAAAGCAATTTCAGCAGGTAAACTGTGGATACAGGTAATCTGGAGGCATAGAGTCCTGATCCAAAGCAGGGACTATGGCTGGTCCAGCTCTCCCCAAAAATTAAGTTTTTAGTTGCAATAGATCCTCAGTGTACCACAGCCCTGCACCTCACTTCCTATTTGAGGGATGATAGGATCAGGGATGGCAGCTGAGCTTTTTGGCCTCCTTACACACTGTAGGGACAAAGGGAAAAACAGTGGGAGGAGCAGACAAGGGCTGGATCCAAAAGAGTGCACGGTACCTCTTACTTCCTCAAGGGAAGAGCAAGAGTTGTGCCCATGGGTGTTGTAATGGCCCGTGCCACACTGGTACCTGATGGGGTCAGCTCAAGTGCCTTTAGGAGGAAACTTAGGTGAGAGTGGCCCATGAAGCCCTTTTCTTCTTTCTTTGGGCAATTGGTCTTGGAGATGTTTGTGGCTACCTCGCTGCCATTGACTCCTAAAGCCAGACAGAGCAAGGAGTTATGGATGTCAGAGTGGGTTCTCTCTCCTTGTGCCCTCTTAGGAACAATCTAAGACTAGTCCCAATTTGGCTAAGAGCTGTTCAAGAAACAAAGGAATTTGGTGTCCTCTGACCTGACTGTTCAGCAGTAAGAGCTGTTCTCCCTCCCCAAGTCCTATCACTGTATTCAGGTAGAGGAAATAGGGGTCTGTCCTTTGGTCCCAAAGAACAAGATCTTGGCTTTCTTTTTGATGGCCATCCCTACCCAACAAAGAATTGGGGGGTGGGGAGGATGCTGCGGAGAAAAGACTGGGGAAGAAGCCTAATGTAGGTTTTATTCTTAACCATGTTCTTTGCTCCTCTCTGCTCTGATACCACCACCCTGTCCACCCCCAGAAAAGTGATCAGGGGTGGGAGTGTGTGTTCATGTGTATGCGTGGTATGTGAGTGCTCATATTTGTATGCTTGGAGGAAATGGCATGTTATTGAGCCAAACCCTTCTCTGGCCCTCACCTTAGGGTAGGATGAACAGAAAACAGCCTTCTCCCACCAAGACCTGAAGGGTGCTTGAGGTCTCAGCAGGAGCTGAGAAACACAATTTAGGGGACAGAAGGGCTTTGTTTTGGAGGGCTTATTTTAGATTGCTTCAACAGGCTGATGGTTAGGGTGTTTGTAAGCCAAGCCAAGGCTTGTGAACATGAATTTTCTAAGGTGAAATAAACCCTTTCTTCCTGAAAAAGAAAGGATCCTTATAGGAGGTTCTGGGGTTTGGTTGGCCCCCCCTGTGGCCTGCCCTCACCAGTAGTTGGGGGAGCTATCTTAGGAGTAATCATGGAGCCTGGGTGAACCTGAAGTCCAAGCTGTCAGTGGGAATCTGAAATGGCAGCCTCCAGGAAGTGGCATTTCATTTCCCAGAGAATGTAGGGAATAGACGGCAGCAGCAATTCCTGGCTATTACCTGTTCTGGAGGGGATAAAAGAGCAGGAGGCTCATCCATACCTCTGGTATATTTCAGGGAAAAAGAAAGGAGACATGGCACCCTTTAGATTTTCCCTGACAGCATCTGAGATCCTTTGGGGGAGACGCTGAGTAATGTTTGCTGCTGTGTACTCTTCTGGCTTGATGCTGACACTCCTATTTGATGTGGTCCGGAACTTAGATCTCAGTCCTTGGGTCTGTCCTGTGGGCCCTGCAAACAGGGGTATCTTTCTGCATGTGAGCCAGCCCCCTTCTTGTTAGAGGGCTCTGCTGGGACTGGGATTTTTCTGTCATTCATTTCTGGAATGATTCACACCTCCAACTTCAAGCAACCTATAAAACACATTTCTTAAAACACATAGAGGCTGGGCGCGGTGGCTCACGCCTGTAATCCTAGCACTCTGGGAGGCCGAGGTGGGCGGATTGTTTGCGCTCAGGAGTTCGAGACCAGTCTGAGCAAAAGCGAGACCCCATCTCTACTAAAAAAAAATGGAAAGAAATTATCTGGACAACTAAAAATATATAGAAAAAATTAGCTGGGCTTGGTGGCGCATGCTTGTAGTCCCAGCTACTCGGGAGGCTGAGGCAGGAGGATCAATTGAGCACAGGAGTTTGAGGTTGCTGTGAGCTAGGCTAATGCCACAGGCACTCACTCTAGCCAGGGCAACAGAGCGAGACTCTGGCTCAAAAAAAAAAAAAAACACAGAAAACTGTCCTCCAAAAACGCTTTTGAAAATAGGAGGCCTCTCTCCCTGCCACTTACAGCTAATCTGTTTGGGATGGAGGGACAGTGGAGGGAATCACGAGTGACCTATGCCTCTACGTGTACAGATGTGTGTGCTGGGTCAGAAGGTCCCCTGACCCCCCCCCCCCACAGACCTTGCCTTCTTGCCTGGAGGTGGGAGGGAACTTCTGAGCATGTGTGCAAAGAGCCATGCCAGAACCACCCTGCTGAGGAATTGGCTGTGGGGGAAACTCAGGAGCAGGTCGCTGGTTCAGTTCAGGTGCTGATGCTCTGGGGCAGTGGATGTGTAAGGAGAGAGGAGCAAAGGGGTGCAGGGAGTGATTTAGCACTCAGAGGGCCCAGGAGCCCCACTTATACCCCAGGGAAATCACAGACTAAGACCGCTGCAAAGGCTTCTGGGCCCAATGCCCCACCCTTCCTTGCTGGGGTGGGGCCTAGCACTGGAAAGATGCCTCAGGTGTGTGTAGAGTGAGGGGAAATGGAGATAGGGCAGGCTCTCAGAAACCAGGACGTGAAATTGGGGGATCCAGGAAAGCAGAGTGCCTGTTCCTAGGTGGGCTGCTGCATCAGGCCCTGCCAGCCCCACCCTTCCCAGCACCCCAAGTCTTTTCCGTCCACCCCCAGCAGCCTCGTCATCACTTAGCTACTGATGTGCCCCATGGCTTGACTTGGAGGGTTAACGAGTGGAGTCCCACCACAACTCTAACCCTCTCCCCAGATGCTCTCTGCCTCTGCTGGGCCCTGGGGCTTTTATCTTCAACTATCCCCTTCCTACCCTTCCTCTCCACCCTCTTTTTTTTTTTTTTTAATATACTTATTTTGCTATGGGGGAGGGGAATATCAAATGGACAAGATCACTTTTAAATGGTAGTTTTTATAAGATGTTATAAACTTGTATCTTTTTACCATTAAAGTGCAGTGTATGTTCCTTCGTGATATATTTAGGATATTTAAATAAAAAGAAAATGGGGCTTTTCTACATATTATCTTCTCTTTGGGAAGAATATCCTTTGGGGAAACTTTCACTGGGGGCCAGAGTAGTTTTAGCGGTTTTCCTTTTTTCTCCCTAATATAACCACCCTACAACCTCTATCACCCTACAAACCACCATTTTAAAGCCCACCTTCTCCACAGAGGAGCAACAAATAGGAGTACAAACAGGACATCAGTTCTGAACAAGAAAAGAAAGCATACACAGCAGGACAGGACGAGGGTGGACACTTTGGTGTCTCTCAAAGTGTGGCCTGTAGCCCTATATCAGCGGTACCCGGGAACTCCCCGGCGCTCTCCAGACCTTCCCAGGCTGTGTGGTAGGAGTCCCTGCACATTCAGGTTGCCCTGCCCACGGGTGGCAAAAGGAGAATGGATGTGGCCTTTCCTAAGGCCCAGGCTAGGTAGTCTGCATTGGCCTTGGTGAGGTAACGCCAGGTGACAGCTGTGGTCTCAGGTAAGACTTTATTGTGTGCTTGGGTGGGGTAACCCTCACTCCTTGTGAGGTAGGGAGGCAAGGTCGCAGCAGCAGGAAGAAGCCCTCTTGGGTGTCACTCTGAAAATTAAGTAGGGCGGTGACCACTCCTCTGCCTGTGGTTTAGTGCCTTTCGAGGCTCCTGCCTGACAGAGCCGCCCCCAGTTCCCACTGTCCTCCCTGGACAGTGCTGGTCCTGGAGAGTCCCTCATTCAGAGAGCAGGACGGTCTGCCTCTTGAAAGCAGGGTTTATGGTGGTCGTGATGGCACTTTTGTAGAGAGGATTTCTGTCCTGGGGAAAGACATTGCAAATTATGAGGGAAAGTCCCAGGATTCCTTGTCCCCTTCATCTAGTCCTAAGAGAACAGCCTACAACTTGAGCAGGATCCTAGGAGCCAGTGGAAGTCAGCAGAGGGGTGGAAGGAGTCGGAGCTGAGCTCCGGTGAGGAAGCAGAGAGCAAAAAGGGGCCCAACCAGGGAAGGCAAGCAAGGAAAGCCCAGCCGGGCAGGGCAGGAGGCAGTCTCCTCACCTGCTTCCAACTGAGTTGCTGCTGCTCCTTCTCAAAGCGACTGTATTCCCGACGGTCGTAGATTTCCACTGAGAGCCGGTAAGCCAGGACCAGCACCAGTCCCACTGCCACGATGCCCCCTATGCAGCCCAGCACAATGGTTTGGGTGTGATCTACTCCCTCTATAGGGGAGGAACAGGACACAGACTTCTGGAGGCTGGAGCATAGGGACACATAAACAGTCGCCCACAATGTGTCCAGCCTCTCCAACCCTGTCACTGACAGCCAAGGGAACCCCATAGGATCCAAGGTTATCGTCATTGCCCAGGGCCTTAGTCTTGGCCACTTAGTCCATCACCTCTGCCGCTGCCCTGGATTCAGCGCTCCGCTTCAGCCCCCAGTCTGGTTTCCCATTATCTTCACCTACACATCCCTGGAGTTCTAGGCCCCGCCCGTCAAACTTCCAGGGCTCCACTTGGCATCTCCACCCACTTACTCTCTTGGCGTCTCACTCTCAGTGTAACCCTGCTTCCAGCCTCATCCTCCACCACGAAGAAGAACAGCTGATTGTCCAGGGTCCTGTCTTTGCACCAGCCATCATCCAAGATAGGGGCCAAAACCAGGGTCACGTTGGCATGGGCACAAGCTGTGCTGCAGTTGGTGGCCAGAGGACCAGTCCCAAAGGCCCCACACTCTGCACAGTCCCTGTGTGATGGATGCCAATGTTACCAGCTGGGCGGTTGTCACCCACTAGCCTCCACCCACAGCACAAGCAAGGAGAGCAGGCAGACAGGAGTAGCTCCTCAAGCCCCACCGTGCCCCTGCTCCCAAGATGCAAGACCTGAGGCCTCACCTGAGTCTCTCGCATGGTGTCTTGCAGCCTGGGCACTGGTCACACAGAGCACCATAGTAGCCGTCGAAGCACTGGCAGCGGTTGCATTTGCATTGTCCGTGCCCACTGCAGAGCCCTCCCTCGGGACTGACACAGCTGTCTGTGTCCCCACTGCACTCGCATGCTCTGCCCGTGCGGTTGGCGTGACAGTAACATACTCCACACTGGCAGCGGCCAAAGCCTGCGGTAGAGCCACGTACAGGGTGACAACCATAACTCCCCACACACAATTGCCTATCACCTGCCACCTCGGGCCCACATATTCAGTCCCTTTCAAGTGTACCAGACACATGCTCTAACCTAACTCATACACCAGAATCTTCGACATGTGCCCTCGGTGTCATGAAGCTCCCAGAGCCTAACTGCCTTGGGAGGGCCCCTCAGACCCTGCCCTCCTCCCAAAGTCTCCAGGTACCTCCACAGAGGATGCCCTCGTGTCGCTCACAGCTGGCATCATCACACTCGCACAGACGCCCGGAGCTCTGTCCACTGCAGCTGCAGCGTCCGCACTGGCATCGTCCCTTTCCACTGCATAGGGGCCCTGTTCCATTGGGGGCCCGGCACCCAGATTCCAGATCCGGGGAGGACAGCTCAGCCTCAGAGCACTCACAGAGCCGACCCAGGCGGCCAGGGGCACAGCTGAGAGGGAAAGGCAGAGAAGAGAGAGGTGGGTCCAGGAGTTTGACCATCCCTGTCCTGTCTTTCCCAGGTTCCTCTAAACTCATGTTCTCGAAAGAGTGGGAGAGAGACGAGTGGCTGAAGGGGGGCCAGAGTGCAGTAAAGCACTGAGGTTGGAAGAATGAGAGAGTTCCCATCAAGGGGAGGGCTTGGGATGTCTAGGAGACTCCAGTGGGAGGGTGGAAAGTGAAGGAGGAAGAATACAGAGTAGGTCATTTGTGGGGAGCCAGCTGGGTGAAGGGAAGAGGGAGCCCTCACCTGCACACCCCACACTGTAAGTGTCCCTGGCCGTCACTGCAGTGGGGAGCCTGGGGCTGGCTGTCACTGCAGTTACAACCACACAGCGTATGCAACTCCACAGTCAGCTCCTCAGAGAAGCCAAGGGCCCGGAGCCTCAGGAGATGGGGCTCTGGGAGGCAGTGGGTAGCTTGGAGAGTAACCCAGAAATTCACCTGAGGACAGTGTGG